TGAATATCCAGTGTATACAGGTATTCTTAATATTCATGGAGTCAGACATGACCTTAATGACACAGTAACTGAGGTCAAAGGATCACAGATCTGAACCCACATGGCATACTCTCTCACTGAATAAGTTTTTATAGGGTTTATTATTATTATTGTTTTTAACAAATAAGGATGTTTACTGGTCCATAAAAGAAATATTCACTGAAATTGTGGAAGTCTAAAGTGAGATATGAATAAATGGTCTAAATGAATATACCCAAAAACAAAATAACAATAAAAAGACACAAAATGTAACCACCTACAATAGCTAAAGATGAAAACAGTTTAAGAATTCAGAGTTTATCAAAGTCCAAAATAGATAAAAAAGAAGTAAACAGAACACTAAATAACCTGCTTTCTTATGCAGATTGTCTTCCTGGAAGCCAGTTAACAGAAAAATTTCCTAGCACTTTCATGAAAATAACGCTTACTTCTCATTCACTGGAACAAACATGTGCCAACTCTCTGACAGCTTCAGTTACAGAGACAATTTAAGACCCACCTTGTCTTAACAGCCTCAAAGCAGATGAGGCTATAGCCAAGAGTTTTAAAATAAAATGAAAATAAAATAATAGCATAAAATACTTAAAATGGGAGTTGGATTGGGAAGACAAATGGACTACATAATTCTCATAGTAAGAAGCATTTTCCTTATGAAGTTCTGACTGATGTTATATATTTTCAGTCCTTGGTCAGGAATTTGCATATGCAAAGGGCTTAAGTAATACACTGATTTTCAACTGCACCAATGGTTGGCGCTCCTAACCCCCACCCTGCTGAAGGGTCAACTATATTTGGTGGGGTGTTTGTAGCTACTTTGAAATACTTTCTATAACATCCTATTTGATATTGGGAAAGCAGTAAAAGGAAAATGGACTGAACTTGAATGATAAGGTGAGCTGCTAAAGGCAAAGAAAAGATATTCTGTGGTCCTTAAAAGAAAAAGAAACACAGGTATATGTGTTCTTTGTCATGGTAACCATCCATACACTTAGGTGAAACTGCTGCAAAAATGAAACAAATAGCACTCAGTCAGAAAGTTGCAAGAAATATCTCACCATTATGTTATCAAGATGCCAGAGGGCACTATGAACAGAGGAAAGCAAACAGCAGCACACTGCAAAGTCAGAGCGACGCTGGCAGTCACGGTATCACTGCTTCCACAAACACGGGCTTTATCACACTCTACCATGAAAATGAAAATGAGGTTTAGCCCTTTCACCAAGGAAAAAGAATGGCAGAGCCACAGTCTACCCAGAGGCACTTCCCCCTTCTCTGTTACACATAATCCTTTCCTTCCAAATACTTCTAGAAATCCTAC